TTAATAGCAACTAATATATTTTTAAAATATTTACAATGACAAAAGTCGTTGCAAAAAGGTGTATTTTGCAATGTTTTAGTTATCACTAAAAGAGGCATTTTCTAACAATTATGAATTGTTTTATTAAATAATATTTTGTTACAATAATTGTTGTCCAAAATACAATTTGTGACAGTTTCAGTTGTTGCTAAAACATTTATTCCCCAACAATTACTCACTGTGAAATATTGGTTACCACAACAATTAATTCCATAGCAATATATTATTTTATGAAACAATTAAAATAGTTAGGAAATATCTCTTTCAACAACAACTAATATTGTTGCAAAATACATCTTTTATAATAACTTTTATCGTTACAAATATTTCTTTAAATAATAATTGAAGTTGTTTTCTTATATTACTTTTAACAACAACTTGTTGTTTCTAAATATTTTTTTCAAAAATAATTATGATTGTCATAAAATATATCTTTTGGTAACAATTTATGGTGTTGTTAAATAATACTTTTGGCAACAACAAATAGTAAAGCTAAAAAGTAATAACGTAATTATTATTTGTTGTTGTCATTAATATTTACCTATGGCCCATAAGCATAAGCGTAAGTATTTCTCCTTACTTATAGTATTTTAGATGTAGGTATAGGCTCATTAAACATTTACCTACAAAATGTAAAAGTGTAAAAATACGTTCAAAAGTGTAGTTAGATATTTATAGTTACGAGACATATACTTGCACTTTTTTGACTGTAGGTATAAGTTTTGAGAGGCATATACCTACGAATTTTTATCATATATCGACAGTTTTTGTCCATGGCTAAATGGAAAAAATGTTGTAGTGGAGGATAGGACTGGATAAGACAAAAATAATGCGATAAGACAAGATTGGATTGGAAAAGATAATCTGAAAGTCCCACCCTATGTTTAGCACTCCAAAGCATAGTGCCAATTGCCTTAACTAACCAAGTTTTATAATTGGACATGGGAGATTTGAAAAGAGAATACTCAAAGATGGCTTTTGCGATAACTGCAACAAATGATAAAAAAAGAAAAAACAAGCTGGCGCTTCCAACAATGGTATTTGTAGAGTGATCTTCTGCCAAATCCAACTAGTATT